GAAACCATCGATGAGATGGTTTTGCCCAAAGGAAGACATTGCCTTTATTAATCATGAGCAAACAATCATGCACACAACGAATCTAGAATGGAGAAGTAAAAGGACAAGCTAAAAACAAAATCACAAAGAAACATGAGATTTACATGATTCACCCAAATCATAGGCTACATCCTCAGAGTCACTACGGATTTACCAAGATCAATATGAAAAGAGTTACAAAAGTCTCTAACATTCAATCTCATAAACTCTCTCTCTCTCTCTACAATAATCTATCTCTCATCCTCACTATTGTGTATTTCTCTCTATGATCACAAACTAATGAATAAAAAATATATACATGGGTGTTTTTATAGGCTAGCCTCAAACCAAATCCTAAATTAATAAGGAAACCAAAACCTAAACCAAGGAAAAACCTCAACCAACAAGGAAATAGTTTAGAGTCAAAATCTAATCCAACACTAATTTCCTTATTTCCTTTACCTAATCTGATTAGGTTTAGTCTTGTTTCAGGCTCTACCAACAAGAAGTTGGACACGTAGAGAGATAGATGGATAGATAAGTAGGACATGAAATGGGGCAAATAAGGATATTATGGTCTTTTAAATTAGTAGTATTGTTCTTATAAACAAAACAAAAAAACCAAAATAGAACTTAATTTTTTAAAAAAACTAAACTTCTGACTTGAGCGCCCACAATAATATAGTAACAAGGGCAAATTATACCAAAGGGTCTTATAGATTCCCCTCAAGTTTCATTTTGGTCTCTAATGTTTGAATTTGAACATATTTGCCCTCTAAGTTTTGTTTTTGTGTCAAATAAGGACAATTGTGGATGGAAGTTGAGTTTTTGGATGGAAAAAGGTCACATGCATTGCACATGACCATTTTTTAGGGGTGTAAATGGAAATATATACTAGCCTATTGAGTTCATTCACTTTGAGTCACTTATTGAGTTGTCTCACTCACCATGCTTACCCACCAACCCCATATCACTAGATTCACCACTTCACATGGCAACATACAACCAACACGTGTTCCTCCTTCCATCTCCTTTAAATTTCTATTTCTTTTAGAATAGAATCATCAACGATATAAAGTAGATTGATAGATCGAACAATATCTTTTTCAAATTCGATAAATGTTGGTTGATTGTATATTTCATTATAGTTCTATGATTTAGAGTATCCTTTCCCATTTGATCCCTTTGAATTCCATATTCGAAGTTGCAATCCGATCGATTCATTAAAAATAATTGATTCAATATAGGGTGAGGTCTCTGTTTCAAGTCCACGATGGCCTAGTTGCACCAGGGAAAAGAATAGAAGAAGCACTTGACTCCTTCATGCATGCATCACTTGGCTCGGGGGGATATAGCTCTACTACAACCTCACTTTTCTCTCTCTTCCTTTCCTAGATCAAAGTATCGTCCATCAATTCCTTTTCACTCTTGCTCAAACCATCTTTCCTCTCCTCCCTGCGCAGACCATTCCACAACCCCTTTCTACAAAAATCACCCTACCCACCTCCTTGCGCCGACCACCCCTCTTCGGGCCAATGCATTATGTCGAAATTGGTCATTGGTCTACTTCGTTGAAGAGGCAAATTTCAATGAGAGGATTTGAAGTTGGATTTAGGGTGGTATGGGTGGCGGGGTGGAGAGAGTTTGGTAGTGATGCTTTGATGGTGGTTCAAGGGTGGTGGAAAGGTAAATTTGGGTTGGTAGAGTGACAAGATTTGCAACTAGTTTGGGGTGGATTTTTTGCTAGTTTAAAGTTACCTTGATGAGGTGGTGGCATGGAAGAGGAGGTGTTTTGGTGGTGGTTGGTGGCTATGCGTAGGGTGGTAATGTTTAGAGGTGGTGGTTGGTGCCTATGCGTAGGGTGGTAATGTTTAGAGGTGGTGGTTGGTGGTTGTGGGTGGTGATGGTAGAAGAAATAAGAAGATGGATTATAGAGAGGAAACGATAAAAAGACTATTTTATCCTTAAAAGATGTTCATGTGCAATGCATGTGACCATTTTTCATCCAAAAATTGAACTTCCATCCATAATTGTCCTTATTTGACACAAGAGCTTGGAGTACAAATGTGTTCAAATTAACCAAAATGAAACTTGAGGAAAACTATAAGACCTCTGGTGTAATTTAGTGATGATGTATTATGTGACAATTGTTCTGTCATTTGTTTTTCTTCTATTAATTGTGTCTTTGTTTTTCTTTTAGCCAATTATCTGAGGAATTTTTAGGTGCTAATAGGATAGATGCCATGTGATACTTTTTACTGTTGTGATTGGATTTGACAATAGGATCTATTACAATTTACAATTATGCTAGGTGTTTGAGAAATAAGGGACATATACATTTGTAATTGGTGAGAGGTAGTATCGCATAATATCCTATTAACATACCAAAATTTCTCCAATTATTTGGACAATTGGTTAGGAATGTCGTTTGCATGTCTTCTAATTTTACAAGTAGTTTAGTAAAATGACCCGCCATTTGAGCATAAAGTTTAGTAAAAATTCCTATAATATTGCAAATTTTACTTATCACCAAATTTGGTGAAAAAAAATCAGCTATCAATATTTGATATCATCAAATTAAATTTTTCATGAAGGATATGATGATTTCTCAATTTGGTGTGAAAAAAATGACTCTCCTTTAATTTGATGGATAGTTGATAAAAGGATTGGAGATAATTTTTTGAGCAATGCTACGTTTTAGGAAAATTTTTCAGGAAGATGGTCATGAAGATTGTCCACCTTTAGATTAGTTTTTTTTTGTGTTTTATTGTATATTATGCAATCACATTAACCTCTTAATCATAGAGCACTATAAGACATAACTAAATTTATATTATTTACAAACTAAGATTTTAATATTAAAACATACTTACATTAATCAAGATGTAAATTTTTATTTATATCTATTACAGCATGCATTAAACATTGAATTTTCATGAATAAAATTATTCCTAGATTCAATTTCTAAGCTCTGTACCAAGATTGAAGGTCTCACAGGATCTTACAAAAATTAACTTAAAATCTTAACTTAAAACTTAAAATTAAAGTCTAACTATGAAACTATTTTAAATAACCTAGGGCTACTTTATCATTTTTAAAAACTTAAAAGGGCTTAGCTTCTTTTATTGTTTTTATTGTTTTATTACCTACCATACTAGATTATTTCTAAAAGCTTCTTGAACTATTTCCTTGTATTTCTTTAATGAAACTTAACATTTTCCTAATTTTGGTAGTACGTTTTCATCAAATATAAACATGACAAAAGAAAATATGAAATATTTGGAGATGCTCTTATGATGTAACTTACATCTTAACTGAATCTAAACAACATTTAAAAAAATAAAATAACGTAAAATTATATACAAATTCTATGTCCGTAACATTACTTTTTTATTTTTATTTTTATTTATTTTTACTTTTTTGTATTATTTCTCTAGTTACTTATCATTACTCATTAGATAGGTGCTTTGATTCTCTCTCCTATTACTCTGAATGTTTCAATTACAAAAATAAAAAAATGAACAATAATAATAATAAATAAAATGACATACAAGTCCATTTTTAAACTCATTTTATAGACTAAGTGATGTGTCAAGAAAATAATTAGTTAATAATTAGATAATATTTAATTATCAACCAATCATTTCCTTGAGGCATCACTGAATCTAGAAAATAAAAACTAAAATTTCATGTTGTGATACTTTTGTTTCACAATGCATAAAATGGCAAGAAACCCAGTGATGGAGGCACATTTGAAATATAAAGCCGGCATTCAATACTGTGAAATAAAAATAATTAGAGTTTTTTTTTTGGGCCAATTGATAAGATAATAATTACAAATAAAAAAAATACACATATCTACAAATCCAACAACCAATCCAAAGAAATCACACCTAACCCAACCCAACCCAACAATAGCCACAAAGTAGAGTTTGTTATGGTTGTATTTATAAGGTTTGAAATAAGTTGGAGACTGATTACAAATATTAGGTGAATTACATGCAACTAACAATCATAGTTGAAAGAAAGGTTACAATGCCTCATCATGCATACCGTATATGCCCGTCGTAACAGTTTTACAAAAAATTACAAAATATTGTACATAAAAACAAAATGTCAACTTTTTTTTACCATAAAATGTCATAACTTCACAATATGCAGTCAATAAAACTATCACAAAACAATTAACCGTGTCTGGTTATGTTGATGCGGCTCGTGAATGGATGAAGAAACAAAAATCATAAAATGCAATCTTAAGTAAGGTTCAAAATAAAATCAAAACCACTATAACTTATAAAATCAGATTGAATCAATGAAGGCCCGTGGTTCAATGAAACAAAGTAAAAGATTTGAATAGAAAACCAAAAAGAAACCGATTGAGACTTTATTTTGACAAAGCACCAAACAATTCTTGTGTCTTTATATATGTATGGTTTAGAAAATGATACCCATGGTTCAATGAAAAAATTCTCGTATCCTAAAGTCGTATTTGCCTCTCTTTGTGCAGGTATACTAGTGAACAAATACCGCTCCAAAATACAATTCAAATCTCAAAAATATGTTTGACACATAACACGATAGGATGCCAAGCCTTTCTCAAGTTGCCATAATATCACAGAGAATGGAAGAAAATAAAAATTATACTTTTCAAACTTATAATTTGACCTAAATTTGACTTTGATCCCTATTATTTTAATTTAAATAATTTTGACCCTACACTTTAAGTCCAATGTCAATTTGGTCCTTCCAACGTTAAAATTAACAATTTTGTAACAGTGTTAGTCTCCCAAGGTGCACATATTTGGATGAAAGAACCAAATTGAAACTAGATTTAAAATGTAGGGACCAAATTGTTTAAATTGAAACAATAGTGAGCAAATTAAATAAAATTTGAGTCAAACTATGGGAGTGAAAAGCATATATTTGCCCAAGAAAATAATATAGGAACATTATGTAGAAGATGAATAAGAGATTCTGTGAAATTGATGTAAACTGAATGGCATAAGAACTCTATATTTATAGTTCTGGTGTCTCTATATTTTAATGGAAAATGTCTCGTAGCTCAAATTTTGTGGCTCAAAAGTGGCTCAAATGGCTAAAACGACGTCGTTTTGGCCATTTTTATGTTGTTCTGTACTCAAAACGACGTCGTTTTGGCCATTTGAGCCACTTTTGAGCCACAAAATTTGAGCTACGTAGCATTGTCGTATTTTAATTATGAATCAAGAGGGTAGTCACCCGAAATATTATTGAAATATTTACACAGTGCAGTCGTTACAGAGTCACCAAATAAGAAGTCATACCAGCCTTTGGAAGTCCAGCCACCACTTTTTGAGCAGTCTTGATAGATGTCAAAATCATGATGGCAGAGGAAGTACATGCCTGTGCTGACTTGATATGCCGACAGATCTTCGTTGACAACATTATGAAAAGAAGGATACAAGTCTCCCTGCTGTGTATTGTTCTCTTCTTGCTCATATACAACTTGAATGCCAAACTCTTTTAGCTTCATAGAAGCCCACAAAATCACTGTAACATCAACTTCATCGCCACCTTCCAATTGATTTCCGATCTTCCAATGGCTTAACCATATCATATGTTCATTGTCTTTTGGAAGTCCCACAAAAGTGGGACTATAGATCCACTTAAAACCCTTGGTCTTATTGCTGGTTCTAATAAAAATATTATCCCAGTACTCATTTCTTCGGTCATCAGATTTTGCATATGTTTGCTCATACACAACACATACATTCAAGCCTTGGATTTTGAGATTAGGAAGTGAAGGCACATTCAAACAAATTGAGGATCCCGTGCTCTTATTGCTGAACCAGCTTGGAACCTCATTTCCAGGAAGAAAAGTGTTGAATATAATAAATTCATAAAGTCCCTGCGCCACGGAAATCATATCATTAGCATTTAAGAAGAAGAAGAAGAAGAAGAAGCACCTGAAGGGGAACTTTCACTGTTCTTATCAAGGTTTTAAAAAGCGGTTGCGGTCGCCGTAACGGTGGCGGTGGCGCGGTTGCGGTTGCGGGGTGTAAAGGCCGTAGTGTAACGGTTGCGGTAACCGGAACCGTGAATTTTTTTATTTTTCGCACAATTTGAAACAAACTTACGGATACGCATATTTTTTTTCCATTATCATATTTATTGGGTTAAAAATAAATATTGATCAATTTTTATAAATTTTTAATTATGATCTAATATATTTCATATTTTTAAATTACTATAAACTGAGTTTTTTTCATTTTATTTTAATAATTAATGACTTTATATTATACAAAAAATCAATCACTAACTATTATATATAAGATAAACAATGACAAAAGTAAAAGAATAAATAAAAGCCTAAATATATGTATACATATTTTAACCAACCTAAATAGATAATGACCACACTCATTATTATTATTATTTTCAAACAATATATAGATAGACACACACAAACAAAATGGTTGAGTGATAGCAGCTGAATAGAATAACATAGGTCTTACAACTTCAACGAATCAATAACATGTTCTTCATCTTCCCTCTTTTCTCTTTCTATCTCTTGCTTCTCCATTTTCTCTCTTTATTTTCTCTCTTCTCTCTATCCCTCTTCCCCCATTTTCAGCTTTTTTTTGTGTGTTTTTTGGAAAGAAACAGTTTGGAACCGTTACGTAATAGTACGTAACAGGCCGTTACGGCTGTTACGGCACCGTTAAGACCGCTACGGTAGCCGCTACGACCGACACACCTATGAATCTCAATCACACTGCAAAAGCGGCCGTAACGGGTGGCGGTAACCGCCAAAACCGTTACGTAACGGCGTTACGTAACGGTTGCGGCCGCTTTTTAAAACATTGCCGAGGATTTTTAATAATCTGAGCAACTAACACCAAAAAATAGGAAATTAGTTTATATGGATAGTCATACCAATCCCCAAGACATTAAAAACAATCAAAAACAAAAACAAAATAATAAAATTATTGTCAAACCTTTGTTCCATTCCAAACTCGTTCCAGGTTGCTATAGCTCATATCAAGTGCAACCAAGCTCTCCAAAGAAAAATCATTGGGTATAGATTTTAAAGGGAACCCATGCCAACAACGCCATCTTAACTTCTTAGGAAATTCTTCATAGCATCCAGTAAGCCGTACATTATAGAGCTGGAGTATTCTCAGTCTCTGCATTCTTGAAAATGCATCAGTGTGTATATTTACTTCTTTAGATGTTGGAAATGATTCTGTTGAGGAAGAATTCATGGAGAGCCAAGAGAAGCTTAGACGACGTCGCTTTGATGATGGTGAACTGCCTTTATAAAGGAATGATGAGTTGCCATGAAAATATTCAGAATGATGTCTTTTTGAATTATTTACCCTCCTGGATGGCTCCTCTTCGTTAAACCCGTTCATGTTGAGGATGAGGCCTTCAACTGTTTCTGTCCCCTGATTATAAATAATAATAAAAAAATTCAGGAAAAAAAAAGGCTAGATATGTGTGCACATGGGTAAAAAACATATACAAATAGACATGAAATAGCACAATTCTTACAGTTTTTTCAATTAATACATTGAATGCATCCTTATGATGCCATAGTCTGCTCCTTTTCTCAGGTTCTTCAGTTGATTCTTGTCGTACAATTTCTCGTGCCATATCTTGAAGCAATTGATGCATCATCAGCTTGTTCTTTTGATCAATTATTAACAGGCATCTATCAATGAGGTTGTCAATCCCTACTTCAGTGTAGAAATCACATCCATCTAGCACTGTAATTGTGAAATCTTTGTCTTTTTCCACAAAGAAACAAGCAACATCTAAGAACAAATTTCTGTCATGGTCATCTTGCAAAGAATCAAAACTTATTTTAAGTTTTGTAAGGATTTGGCTATCAGGAATCGCTTTCAATTTCTTTAATGCACTTTCCCATACATCTAAATTTCTTTGAAATAAAGAAGAACCCAAAACTTGAAGGGCTAAAGGCAACCCTCTGCAGTAGCTCACAACTCTTTTTGAGTGCTCCTCATAACCTTCAATGGGGTGGTTTTGTCGAAAGGCTTGCCAACTAAAGAGCTCAAGCGATTCATCGTCATTTAATTCCTTAACCTTATGCAACTTGTACAGTTTTTGTGCCTTCATCAAGTGCTCACGCCTAGTAGTTATGATAATTTTACTTCCTGGATAAAACCAATCTTGCATTACGAGCACTGCATTTAATTGGTCCACTTGATCCACATCATCAAGAACAAGCAAAACTCTTTTACAACATAGAGCATCTTTAATCCTAACAATACCTTCATGGACACTACAAATTTTTTTTTGTTTCCCCTTCAAAATATCCTGAAGCAGTCTTCTTTGCAAACAAACCATGCCATTGTGTTGTTCTGATATTTCTCTAATATTTGCTAGAAAACTACTAGCTTCAAATCTGTCAAAATTCAGATAATAAACTATTTTGGCAATGGTTGTCTTCCCTATTCCACCCATCCCACATATTGTCACAACGCCAACATCTGCTGATCCATCTTGTAACCAAGAATTAATTTCTTCTACACGAGAATCAATTCCAATTTGGTAGGGGGCCAGACTAAAGATTGTTCTATTCAATTTATTTGCAATCTCCTTGATGATTTGCTGAATAAACCTTGCCTCATGCCTATGGCCAACAAGAAAAATGAAAGCAACACATAATTGACAGATCATTAGTTCAAATCAAATAAGAATTCAAACATACATGAGACAAATTCAAACAAATTTCACAATGCTTGAAGTGGCCATTACCACTTTGAGTGTAAACAAAATGAAATAAATGTTGGTTGCAATTTACATAGTTAATCCTGGCCATTATGCTCAAATGGATGCAATTTACATAGTTAATGCAACATGATATGTATTCAAAAGAAAGAAAATCAACAGAAAATCCAATGACGTTCACCAAAATTCCAACTCCCACTTGAATGATCAACTTTAAGACAAGAAGTTCATAATTTTCACAATCATAATGCTATTTACATTTTTAAACTTTATCAACCTATCCCTTGACTTTTTTGTTATTCATTACATTCCCTATGTGTATTTAAACTATTTTTGTTATTATCACACAGCAGCATTCAGTTGGATTTCTCCTAACGGGGATGCACAACCCTAGCAATGTGATATAAGAAACACATGTAGTTTTATAGAGGAGTTGTACTTGTGTTGAGTATGTGTCAAATATTGGTACTTCTTTAACACACTTAGACACATCCATAAATTAAGCTTACCAAGATACTTTATAGCAAAATCAAAAGAACCCCCACGTTTCATGGAATTGTTTTACACATGTAACAATAGTAAATAACAACAAAATGTAGATGAACAAATACGAAGAGTCTTAAAAATGGAGCGATGAGTGTGCATTTCAACGGTAAAAGCAATGTCTGTGGCAGAAAGTTGTCAACAACAAACAATATATTTGAAAACACATTCTCATAAATTTATCAATTGCCCGTCATTCTCTAAAGAGCATCTTTATAGCTATAAAGGTGTTAGATAATGTTGGGCTTCAGTCTCCTTATTTTTGACGATTCTGCTGCATTGATGATGTATCATCCTGTTATTGGTTGCGCATCGTCATGCCTGTCCATCATGGAAGGACATGTATAGGGTACAATGCACTTCAGGCGACACCAATATTACCCTTTTCTCTCTTCTACTTTTTCTGTATTTAAACTTTTATTTCTTACTTCATGTTCTTCACCTTTACTCTTTGCACCTTCGGGCTTTTTCACTCATTCCGTCCACCATTGTCACTCTGCTTCAAGCTGCATACCTCTTGCATCTGTCGTTGTCTATCCCTTAAAGTAACTCCTTTAGTTTAGATGTTCCATTTTATAATTTCTCGATCTCTTCTATTTTATCATTTTGTTTTTGTATTATCTAATTTGTCCATTGTTTCTTCATTCTCCGAAAAATAGGGCATTTATAGTACATGCTGGAGTCAATGACCACTGCTAAATTGTATTAGATTCCCCCTGATGCCAATGTCAGCTTGAACAGTCATGTCGACTTCAAGATTGAGGGTCCTGACTTCATACTGTCCCATTAGTTGCCGTTATAGAGGCCAATGTTAGGCTCCATCATCATCCACTTCTTTGAGAGTGCCTCTGCCATTGGAACTTGAATCCAATGTAGTTGACTCCCAATAGTTATCGAATCATTATGGGTATGGTCAAGCTAAATCGATTGCTTGGTCTTTAGCTTGACCTCCACGAACTTGAGTGTTGCTATTCTAGGCCTGGCAACGGATTGAGTTTGATTCGGATCCAACCTGTCTAATCCAATTTGTTCGCGGAAATCCGGATCTGATAATCCTTGTAACCCGAATCTGCCAGATCCGAATTTAATGGACCAGATTCAGATAAATCAATTCCAGTCCGTTTATGTACCCGAATCCGATATTACATCCCATTTAAGAAGTAGAACAATTGCCCTAGAAAGATCAAAACACTTGTCTCTCTCATGCGATTTCTCTAGAGATCGATTCATCGAATCACCATCAGAGATTTCTTTGGAGATCGACTCATCAAATCACCATTATCATCATCTATGATTTTGTTGCTCATCATTGAATCATCATCATCATTTGCGACGTCTATCATCCGCAATTCTTTGAGTTTGACCATCATCAAATCACCATCTTCGATTGTGACTCGAATTTCGGAGACTTTGAAGCAAGTGCAACTTTCAGAGTTAGACATCAAACATCTGTCTATTTTTCAAAGTCGGTAATTTTCTGTGAATTCCATTGCTTTCCCCAATATTATGGTGTTAGTTTAACTAGGTTTTAGTTGCAATGAAATGGGTTTGGCTTTATATTGATTGTTCTCAAGTGGGTTTGCTATAGTTATGATAAATTTGAAGTGAGTTTTGTTGCTTGTGATTATTGTTGAGTGGGTTTGATCAGTTTTTGTGTGTTTGATCAATTTGTTAAGTGGGTTTGTTCATTGTGATTTTTGTTGGAATTTGATTTGTCGATTGCACCATGGCTCTGGGACATTTTAAGGCTCCCGGTAACGAGCTCTGTAACATAATTGGTTTCATATTAGTCTACATTAGCTTTATTTGAGGATTTCTTACGTGAAAAAAGCTAGATGAATTTGGTTTTTTTCTTGTTATTTTTGTGTTGGATCTTTTTCTAGTTTCAATCATTGTATATAAACCTAAAAAGCCCATGAATTTTCAGGCTGTTTGTTCATGTCAACTAAGTCTATTTTTGTGTTTGTAAGATCTGCATGATTCTGTTTTTGTCTTTAGATTCAGATTGGTTTGATGGGGAAAAAACCCAATTGAGTAACTTGAAATATATGCTTGTTTTCTGTTACAAGCTAGACTTGGTGGAATACTGCTTTGGGCTTATTTATGGTGCTGATGCTAATAAGCATATTTAGAGGTTCCGTAATGGTTTTGTTGATCCCTTTTATGAGTATAGGAGTGATTCTTCTGATTCCATGAGTTCCGTCGCACTTGTTTCTGAAAATAGCAGCTCAAGTGGTAGTCAAATGCTTGCCGGTTCTTCGAAACAAAAAAGTTTGGCTGGTTTTCATAAGTGGTATGTCCGGAAACGTGCTTCTAACATTTACGCCTAACAAAAATCAGAAGTGGAGCAATACTTTTGAGGAGTTGGTCTCTCTCTCTCTCTCTCACACACACACACACACATATACATATACATCTTAGACATGGCTTGTTATCAAATGAATTTCAAGCCATGTGAACTTAAAAACCCGCAAGTGGCTTGATATCAAATGAATTTCAGTTCTGACCATTTCATAAGTGGCTATCAACCATAGGGGTGATAAATGAACCGAATGAGCCGAACAGTTAACTATCCAAGCTTAGTTTAATAACTTTAACAAGCTTTAAAATTTGTCCGAGCTTGGTTCGTTAAACTTTCGAACCAATCTCAAACGAACTTTTATCGAGCCGAGCTCAAGCAGTTTGATATTTTATATAATTTTAGGCTTATTGAACAGAGCTGAACGAGCAATTAACTGTTCAAGCTTGGTTTGAAAACTTTAATGAGCTCTAAAATGTATTCAAGCTTGGCTTGTTTATTTAACGAACTGAGCTAATAACGAGCCAAACACGAGTCGAGCTTGAGTTGTTTGGTTCGTTTATCACTCCTAATCAACCATGATGAAACCCAAGTTAATGCTACAGATGTGCATTTGTCAGGTTATAGTTCTGCCCACCTTTTAAAAGCATTGATCAAGTCTGTTTGATTCTTTAACAGGTGCAGTTTTTGTTGTTTGCTTAATTGTCACATGTAGGTCGGTATATTTCTTCCCTCTTCTGGGCTTTCCTTTTGCTTCCTAAATAAAGTGCTTTTCTTTTCCCAAAAAATTATTAATTTTGTTCTGCTCTTGCTATTTCAACTGTAGTTTATGGAGTTCAACAATCATCATACTTGTATTGACAATGATTGTTGTGGATATGATGGTTCCACAGTTTGGTTATGCTTTTCATTGCTCACCCAAAGAAAGAATTTTGAGAAAGAGAGGGGGGGGGCGAGATAACGGTTTTTTTTCCTCATTGATTTGGCCTTTAATAGAATTAGTTTGGTTATGTTGTTTGGATGGCCATCACCCACTTCCTAATAGCAGGATATGGCTTCATTAAACTTAGATGATTATAATGATAATTCAAAACATAGTCACATATAGCTTATAATTGGTCATTCCTCAATTATCTGTGAACGTCCTTGGATATTTTTTTATGGTTTTCAGAATTGTCCTAGTGGCTCACAATGCATCTATTATGTTTTTGTAGTGAAGCTTCACAGCAATAGTAAAGTTTATTGTTTGCTATAGTCAGAATTAATTGAGATGAGATTTGAAGAATGGTGAAACTGATCTCTCTTTTTTTCTATGACTATTAGGAATGAATTTTAACTAACAGAATCTGGAGTTAATTGGGTTGAAGCCTGGAAATATCTATATGAGTGGAATTGAGAAAAATAGATGGATTGAATCACTTGATATGTACACACTTCTCTAAAATTTTTTTTTTACTGTCATCTCATTGGAATTAAAAGGGTTTGTTTTTGTTTTGTCCTTGAACCCAAGTTCAATTGAACTATTTACTATTTCAATTTTGCAGGACTTCATAATGTTGTTGACGGAGAAAGAGATGGAGGAGTCAGTTAAATGCATACAAAGAAAGTCTAAGACAATTAACTTAGGAGAAGTTTATGGATAATTTGTCATTAATTACTTTATTTTGTTTTTGTGGTGAAATGTGGTTATAAATGTATAAATCAATTCTCAACTATTATAACTTTTTTTTTTTTGGGGTCTATGGTTGCCATGGTTTAGCATTGAATGAGCTAGACAGCGGAAAAAATATTAAGTTTCATTATTTATCTTTGAATGAGTTAGATATTGAAGTGTTTACTGTTTTATTTTGGCTATTAGGTGCATTATTTTTTATAAGTTAGATATTGAATGATTTAGCATTTTTCTTTTCCAAAAAAAGCATTGAATGTGTTACATACTTAAAAAAATAGTTTTGTATAAACTTATGAGTAGTAAAGTATTCAAAATTTGATGTTATGAACAAATTTTTATTTTTATTTTTTATAATTGGTATTTTATTAACTTTATATGGCTGGCTAAACACAGCAGGGAAAAGAAGAAGAAGAAGGAAAAAAAAAGATCGGATCAGTACGGATCATATTG